TTTTCCTGATTGCCCTAAAAATCCCAAAAAATTCATAGGCACTAATTCGGACCCAAAAACAAAGAATTTCATGTCAGACTTGATAGATAACTCTCCCTGTAGATTTTCAAAATTAGCGGTTCAAGCAATGCCTTTGGCTCGTATAGGTGGAAAAATTATTTTTTTCCTGATTGCCCTAAAAATCCCAAAAAATTCATAGACACTTATTCAGACTCATAAAGAAAGAATTTGATGTCAGACTTGATAGATAACTCTCCCTGTAGATTTTCAAAATCAGCGGTTCAAGCAATGCTGTAGGCTCGTATAGGTGGAAAAATTATTTTTTTCCTGATTGCCCTAAAAATCCCAAAAAATTCATAGACACTAATTCGGACCCAAAACGAAAGAATTTGATGTCAGACTTGATAGATAACTCTCCCTGTAGATTTTCAAAATCAGCGGTTCAAGCAATGTAGTAGGCTCGTATTGGTGGAAAAATATTTTTTTCCTGATTGCCCTAAAAATCCCAAAAAATTCATAGGCACTAATTCGGACCCAAAAACAAAGAATTTCATGTCAGACTTGATAGATAACTCTCCCTGTAGATTTTCAAAATTAGCGGTTCAAGCAATGCCTTTGGCTCGTATAGGTGGAAAAATTATTTTTTTCCCGATTGCCCTAAAAATCCCAAAAAATTTATAGACACTTATTCAGACTCATAAAGAAAGAATTTCATGTCAGACTTGATAGATAACTCTCCCTGTAGATTTTCAAAATCAGCGGTTCAAGCAATGCAGTAGGCTCGTATAGGTGGAAAAATTATTTTTTTCCCGATTGCCCTAAAAATCCCAAAAAATTTATAGACACTTATTCAGACTCATAAAGAAAGAATTTCATGTCAGACTTGATAGATAACTCTCCCTGTAGATTTTCAAAATCAGCGGTTCAAGCAATGCAGTAGGCTCGTATAGGTGGAAAAATTATTTTTTTCCTGATTGCCCTAAAAATCCCGAAAAGTTCAGAGACACTTATTCAGACTCATAAAGAAAGAATTTGATGCCAGACTTGATAGATAACTCTCCCTGTAGATTTTCAAAATCAGCGGTTCAAGCAATGCAGTAGGCTCGTATAGGTGGAAAAATTATTTTTTTCCCGATTGCCCTAAAAATCCCAAAAAATTTATAGACACTTATTCAGACTCATAAAGAAAGAATTTCATGTCAGACTTGATAGATAACTCTCCCTGTAGATTTTCAAAATCAGCGGTTCAAGCAATGCAGTAGGCTCGTATAGGTGGAAAAATTATTTTTTTCCTGATTGCCCTAAAAATCCCGAAAAGTTCAGAGACACTTATTCAGACTCATAAAGAAAGAATTTGATGCCAGACTTGATAGATAACTCTCCCTGTAGATTTTCAAAATCAGCGGTTCAAGCAATGCAGTAGGCTCGTATAGGTGGAAAAATTATTTTTTTCCCGATTGCCCTAAAAATCCCAAAAAATTTATAGACACTTATTCAGACTCATAAAGAAAGAATTTCATGTCAGACTTGATAGATAACTCTCCCTGTAGATTTTCAAAATCAGCGGTTCAAGCAATGCAGTAGGCTCGAATAGGTGGAAAAAATATTTTTTTCCTGATTGCCCTAAAAATCCCAAAAAATTCAGAGACACTAATTCAGACCCAAAACGAAAGAATTTGATGTAAGATTTGGTAGATAACTCTCCCTGTAGATTTTCAAAATCAGCGGTTCAAGCAATGCAATAGGCTTATATTATATAGGTGGAAAAATTATTTTTTTCCTGATTTCCCTAAAAATCCCGAAAAATTCATAGGCACTAATTCGGACCCAAAACGAAAGAATTTGATGTCAGATTTGATAAATAACTCTCCCTGTAGATTTTCAAAATCAGCGGTTCAAGCAATGCAGTAGGCTCGAATAGGTGGAAAAATTATTTTTTTCCTGATTGCCCTAAAAATCCCGAAAAGTTCAGAGACACTTATTCAGACTCATAAAGAAAGAATTTGATGCCAGACTTGATAGATAACTCTCCCTGTAGATTTTCAAAATCAGCGGTTCAAGCAATGCAGTAGGCTCGTATAGGTGGAAAAATTATTTTTTTCCCGATTGCCCTAAAAATCCCAAAAAATTTATAGACACTTATTCAGACTCATAAAGAAAGAATTTCATGTCAGACTTGATAGATAACTCTCCCTGTAGATTTTCAAAATCAGCGGTTCAAGCAATGCAGTAGGCTCGTATAGGTGGAAAAATTATTTTTTTCCCGATTGCCCTAAAAATCCCAAAAAATTTATAGACACTTATTCAGACTCATAAAGAAAGAATTTCATGTCAGACTTGATAGATAACTCTCCCTGTAGATTTTCAAAATCAGCGGTTCAAGCAATGCAGTAGGCTCGTATAGGTGGAAAAATTATTTTTTTCCCGATTGCCCTAAAAATCCCAAAAAATTTATAGACACTTATTCAGACTCATAAAGAAAGAATTTCATGTCAGACTTGATAGATAACTCTCCCTGTAGATTTTCAAAATCAGCGGTTCAAGCAATGCAGTAGGCTCGTATAGGTGGAAAAATTATTTTTTTCCTGATTGCCCTAAAAATCCCGAAAAGTTCAGAGACACTTATTCAGACTCATAAAGAAAGAATTTGATGCCAGACTTGATAGATAACTCTCCCTGTAGATTTTCAAAATCAGCGGTTCAAGCAATGCAGTAGGCTCGTATAGGTGGAAAAATTATTTTTTTCCCGATTGCCCTAAAAATCCCAAAAAATTTATAGACACTTATTCAGACTCATAAAGAAAGAATTTCATGTCAGACTTGATAGATAACTCTCCCTGTAGATTTTCAAAATCAGCGGTTCAAGCAATGCAGTAGGCTCGTATAGGTGGAAAAATTATTTTTTTCCTGATTGCCCTAAAAATCCCGAAAAGTTCAGAGACACTTATTCAGACTCATAAAGAAAGAATTTGATGCCAGACTTGATAGATAACTCTCCCTGTAGATTTTCAAAATCAGCGGTTCAAGCAATGCAGTAGGCTCGTATAGGTGGAAAAATTATTTTTTTCCCGATTGCCCTAAAAATCCCAAAAAATTTATAGACACTTATTCAGACTCATAAAGAAAGAATTTCATGTCAGACTTGATAGATAACTCTCCCTGTAGATTTTCAAAATCAGCGGTTCAAGCAATGCAGTAGGCTCGAATAGGTGGAAAAAATATTTTTTTCCTGATTGCCCTAAAAATCCCAAAAAATTCAGAGACACTAATTCAGACCCAAAACGAAAGAATTTGATGTAAGATTTGGTAGATAACTCTCCCTGTAGATTTTCAAAATCAGCGGTTCAAGCAATGCAATAGGCTTATATATAGGTGGAAAAATTATTTTTTTCCTGATTTCCCTAAAAATCCCAAAATATTCATAGGCACTAATTCGGACCCAAAACGAAAGAATTTGATGTCAGATTTGATAAATAACTCTCCCTGTAGATTTTCAAAATCAGCGGTTCAAGCAATGCAGTAGGCTCGTATAGGTGGAAAAATTATTTTTTTCCTGATTGCCCTAAAAATCCCGAAAAGTTCAGAGACACTTATTCAGACTCATAAAGAAAGAATTTGATGCCAGACTTGATAGATAACTCTCCCTGTAGATTTTCAAAATCAGCGGTTCAAGCAATGCAGTAGGCTCGTATAGGTGGAAAAATTATTTTTTTCCCGATTGCCCTAAAAATCCCAAAAAATTTATAGACACTTATTCAGACTCATAAAGAAAGAATTTCATGTCAGACTTGATAGATAACTCTCCCTGTAGATTTTCAAAATCAGCGGTTCAAGCAATGCAGTAGGCTCGTATAGGTGGAAAAATTATTTTTTTCCTGATTGCCCTAAAAATCCCGAAAAGTTCAGAGACACTTATTCAGACTCATAAAGAAAGAATTTGATGCCAGACTTGATAGATAACTCTCCCTGTAGATTTTCAAAATCAGCGGTTCAAGCAATGCAGTAGGCTCGTATAGGTGGAAAAATTATTTTTTTCCCGATTGCCCTAAAAATCCCAAAAAATTTATAGACACTTATTCAGACTCATAAAGAAAGAATTTCATGTCAGACTTGATAGATAACTCTCCCTGTAGATTTTCAAAATCAGCGGTTCAAGCAATGCAGTAGGCTCGAATAGGTGGAAAAAATATTTTTTTCCTGATTGCCCTAAAAATCCCAAAAAATTCAGAGACACTAATTCAGACCCAAAACGAAAGAATTTGATGTAAGATTTGGTAGATAACTCTCCCTGTAGATTTTCAAAATCAGCGGTTCAAGCAATGCAATAGGCTTATATATAGGTGGAAAAATTATTTTTTTCCTGATTTCCCTAAAAATCCCGAAAAATTCATAGGCACTAATTCGGACCCAAAACGAAAGAATTTGATGTCAGATTTGATAAATAACTCTCCCTGTAGATTTTCAAAATCAGCAGTTCAAGCAATGCAGTAGGCTCACATAGGTGGAAAAATTATTTTTTTCCTGATTGCCCTAAAAATCCCAAAAAATTCAGAGACACTAATTCAGACTCATAAAGAAAGAATTTGATGCCAGACTTGATAGATAACTCTCCCTGTAGATTTTCAAAATCAGCGGTTTTTTCTGGCAGTTTTTGAGTTGAATTACCAAATGGCAACAAAATTCGAATTATAAATGCCAAGTTTACTTCTACTAAAAACAAAAAAACCAAGGGTGTAATTCGGTAAGACAATTTAATTCATCAAACATTTGTTTATGGCTGGTTGTCATGCTTTCAAAAGTTGGGTCCTGTTATTGTCGCTGGAAAAGTTAGAGCAAACTTTTTTTCTGTCATAATGACAAAATCACGTGGCTTGTGGGATTTTTCATACATGAATCAAATTGTCAATGACATTGATTATCAGATACTTCCGGACGAGCTTCCGGACATATTTCACAACCAAAAAAATTTATTTTCTTCTATATACATTATGCATTTTCAGAGCCGAAATCCATTGTCAATGCCCACCAGTTGACAAGAACTCCGTCCGCTACTTCGCTAAATACAGCTTTCCAAAAACACACCGTAGACCATCGTCCCACGAGACTTTTGGTTTCCGGTTACGAGACTGACGAGCAAGACAGCGTCATCGGCCATTTCCAAGTATGTTAAATCAACTTTTCCTGTATGATTGTTCGTTTCGCGCAATTCTTATTCCTTTTTTTTTCACTTTTTTGAAGCAATTCGGAGAAATCGCAGACTACGAAGTAGATTCGACTATCCCCAGTATCACCTTTAACTACAAGTCGAGGAAAGAGGCTGAGATGGCGTTGTTAAAAGGAAAGAACTTCCAGGTGAGTCACAACAAAATAGTTACAAGAAAAATGTGGATGCGAACTTTGCGGCTGATCTTTAAACTGTTGAAATTTCAATTTATTGTCGCTTTGTCCTTCTCTATTATCCTTCAAACAACCTGTGCCAAGACAACTTTGCACCAAAATAACGAACATTCACGTTATTGAATGCTTTCTTAACAAAACTCTTTTACAAGCGAAGTCCTACTGCTGCACTTTGGCGACACTTATAGTTGCCGTCAAACATATAAGATAAATAAAAAAAGGCGCAAAAAATGGTCGATTAGCGCTCCACTGCCGACAACCAGGGTCGGATTAGTACATATGCGAAGAAATATTGTGATGTGTGCAGATTGTCCAGCTAGGTATGAATGTTATCAATAAGTTAATTCAATATCTGACTCAACCTTCCATTGTTAGAATATTAGCTGAAGAGCACTGTATTATACAGTGAGGACGTGAAAAGTCCTTTCCCCCTTCAACTTTTGAAAAGGTAAAAAGCTACTTCTCTTTCAACTTTTTGACATGAAAATGGTTGTGGTCACGTGGCCTTGTGTCAAGTGGTCAAATCGGCCAATCGACCAAATCGGCCATGCGGTTGCAAAATGACAAGGTTTTGAAATTTGCTTCAAATATTAATATTAATTGATGAAAAACCTGAAAATAACTTTTGATTGCAATGCAATTACAAGTAACAATTATTGTGAAGTGCTCAAGAATGCTAGAAATGTTCATCGTTCACTTATTGACACGAGAAAATCGTTTTGGAATTCAATCCTAACGTTATTTACAGTTTCCGAAGTGAATTTCAAACGCTTATTGTCAATAAAAGTCTTGGCCGATTTGCACAAACGAAACGGTGTTGGATAGAGAATCGGGAAGCCTTCAAAACAAGGTAGATACCACGTGATCCTTCTCTGCATTTGAAAAAAAAGTTGATGGTGCCCACTTGATACTATAGGCCACGTGACCACAAACAATTTAATTCAAAGGTATTTTGACCTGAATTAAAGACTTTTTACGTCTTCACTGTATTTAACTTATTGTAAGTGTTGGGTGTATTTATTGAAAAAGCTGCTCACTCACGCAATTAGATATATTCAGCTTGAAAATCATTATTGTCATAAGAGTCATCCGACCCATCATGTAATTCCCAAGACCTGAAGAATGTTTCCATATTTTTATAATTATTGATATTCTTAAATGATAGATAAAGTAAACAACACTGTCCGGTCGAAGACAAATTTGCTATATTAGCTTCGCGCACCGCATAAAAGTGTAATTATTATCACGTCCGACCCTGCATCGAAAAAAACATACATCCTTGCCGCGCGGGTCTTTGCATCTACCGCGCCAAGTGTTACGTGGGGGCGATAGGTGGAATAATGCGAATAAAATGTGGACATTCCAATAATTCAATAGTTTCATTGCAATTTTTCTCTAATGAAGTTTAGTTGGTAAAACTGCATTTAGCATGCGATGGTTTTTCTTCGAAAATTTTTTGTGGTACTTACGTATTTTTGTCTGAAAAACACGAATTTGACAATCATAATGTGAACAAACCACTATTTATCGAGATATTTAAAAAAAAAATTCGAAATTTCGACTCCTTTTTCCCCTTGTGTTGGATGCATTTACAGGTACTTGCTCTTCTTATTTTGTCATTGGACACTTTATATACTCATGATGTACTTCAATCACACATTTTATACAGGAAATTCAACAGGAAATATGATTTTTATGGCGAGTTTTTCATATTCACTGAACAAGCATACCAGATGACGGCCATTTAATTAATAGTAAATCCAGATACGAGATGCCAAATGTCAACAGAGTGCTTCTGAATGACATTACACATGCCAATATTTCAAATAAATTCAAATGATATCCTTCCTTCTTTTCAATAAATATGCATAAATCACAAGAAAATCATATTGGTAAATTGTTTTAAATTCAATCCAGAAGACAAGCGGAAAAGAAGGTGAAATTTGTAAATTTATAGTGAAATATCTTGATAAATAATGGTTTGTTCACATTTTCATTATCAAATTCGTGTTTTTCAGACGAAAATACGTAAGTACCAAAAAAACATTTCTGAAAAAAAACCCATTGCATGCTAAATGCTGATAATTGGAAAGTTGAATACATTTTCATGGAACGGCATGTAGGCGTATATAATTATGCACTTATTTGCGAATTTCCTTCTCTAGACTATATTCATATTATCTGTATAAAGTATGAATTATCTGAATCTCTGACAGTCGTGATCGAAGAATGCATCAAGTATCTATTGAATGAATGCCCTGTATATACGCGAATGTTCAAACTTTTTCATTTGTTAAGGTAATATTTGTTGAATAACTTTTTGATGAATGGTGAATAATCGAATCATTACTCTGCATATATTTCTTCAATGAAGTATATCTAGATAACTGATCTCTAATTTACCTACTCGTATATCCAAACGAAGAGAATCAATAAATTCACATTCGATATTGAACATCAGCTAGATATTTCAAAGTCTTCATTACTCTGCATATATTTCTTCAATGAAGTATCTAGAACTTATCTCTAATTTACTCATATTTCCAAACGAAGAGAATTAGTAAATTCACATTCGATATTGAACATTAGCTAGATATTTCAAATTCTTGCACCACTTGCCCCCAACACTATGAAGCAGAGATAGAGAAGAAAAAACTATGCGTTTTTCTCACAATTTTTTCATTATCTTATACTGTTGACGGCGACTATACCATAAATTGAAAGCATGATATGAACAAGTTTATTATTTTCGTAAACGTGCTACAAACAGAGATTCTTGCGGCCATGACCGTAATGAAATTCTTTTAAAATGTATGAAATGAACATTCATTGATGAAATATTGTTGGATCTCTATATCTCTATGAATTCTGCATCCTTAAAAAAATGTCTCGCCTTTGAGAACACCCTTTATATCTAATGTGGGAAGAGTGTTAACAATACTAAAAAATAAGTACACATTTGATAGAGAACAAGGAAGATTTCATTCCATAATTCTGATTATTGTTTAATTCTCAATAATCTATTTAGTAACACTACCGATTTACTGAACCAACACATCGAAATCGTCAGTATTTTTGTAACTAGCGACTGACAGTAGGTCGTATGTTCCAGAATACAGAAGAAATTATCCTAATCGACAAACCAACAAAAGAAAAAAAAAATGATGCAGTTCGTTTTTTTTTATTTTGTTGTGACCTTCTGAAGCCCAAAAAGATTCTTTTTATACTCGTAAGTGTTGCAGTCAGTTCAAGTCTGAAAGCGGTTGAATTCATAGCTAAGGTGAAGTCCTTGAATAAAAGATTGTATTTTCCTCTACCATTCGTATTCTTTCAGTTTTTGATAGGTATGATAATCATGGTAATGAATATGCCATCAATAATTTCTTTTTAGTAATTTTCTATATCATTCAGTTCATTGAGGATGAGCAGCAAAATTTTGACTTGTCTGTTAAGTACTTTACCAGATGTTGAATTTATGTTCTTGCCCTCTTTCATTTTCTCATTTCTTCAACTCATTGGTGAGGTTGACCTATTGAATATTTTTTCTCGTACGCAAATCATGTTGTTTCTCCTCTTACATGAAATTGAAATTATTTTGAAAAATGTCCGAGGTATAAATTGGACTATTGACTATGCAAGTCACTTTCTACTTGTTATTACAGGATAGAACTTTATCCATTACATGGAGTATCAACAAGCAGCTGAGTAGACAAAGGAGTAGCGGATCAACAACCAGAACGGTTGTTTTATCGGAGACTGAGGAGGATCAGTTGATTGATTCAAGTTTGCTGGAAGGTGGCGATGATGAGGTATATTTATTCTATATCTTGTTTTGCATGAAAAATGTTCAATTGATTCACCAAAAGTAACTCAGTGAGTGTTATATCGGTCTCGTAAACGAAACTTCATTATTTCAAATGGAACACCCTGAATTTTTTTACGTTAATTTCGATACGTTTCCATTAAATTTCATGTGTTGAAGAATGGTATAAGTACCAAATTTCGAATAGTTTCGTGTACCTATAAATAGGTCTCTACAAAATGGCGAATATTTTCGCAACTCATTTCAGTACCTATTATTAGTACCTCTGTATAAGTTAAGAAATCAAATTATTCCATCCTGAATGAATACGAAATTTCAAAATATTTGTGTTAACTCATAACAAAATGTTGTTGCATTAATATCTAGATCCTCTGTATAAATAGGTGAAGAAAGCGAATTTCAAAATTTTTTACATCGTTATATGGAAATATACCAAAGCAAAATACCAACCACGTGATGAATGCCTTCATATATTATACAAAATCACTTACCATCTTGAAAACAATACAACTTTCACACACTCAAATGAAAATTTAATCACTAAGCCGAACACGAATTCCAATTTTCCACTATTGAATACTACGAGTTATTTTTTTATCATCATTTGATCGACCGTACACGATGAAGTCTAGAACGAGACTGCTGATTGGCTTGATTCATCATTCGAATGACCAATCAGTTACGGCATCTGCTTTCGACCGATTTATTCCCCTAAAGTATGACTAATTCCGATATCAATAGAAGGTATACGGGGTGGAGTGAAAAGAAATTCAAGGATATTTTCTTTCATTTTCTTATATATACGAGGTGTTTTTGAAATGGGTTCATATATTCAGCAAATCAATAAAATACAGGCTAACGGAACCTATGATATCAAATTTTTGCTGATTCTTCTAATCAACGAGAAATTTAACCTTGAAAATTGAATAAAAATCGCCTTTCACACAGAAATTTGTACAGAGATGAGGTCAGAATAGCTACAGTGTGGAACATTCGTATTCGTTTTTCAATTGTGTGTCTTTTCAAACATGGTGTCACTGACTACTGATGAGGAACTTCCCTTTCTCTTTGAGGATTTTAGGAGTGAAAATTCAGACGCGGTGACATCTCAGTACAAAAAAACATTGTGATTTCTCCTTATTTCAGATTATTTTGAACTAATACTAGGGAACTTAGCATTTGTGTTTGTCTATCGCAAAACCATTTGAGAATGAATCAAGGAATATCGAGGTAGTGATTTCAGAAAAAAACACCGTTTTTTGTTTTAGTTGGGTCCAGAAATATCTGAGGAGGCCTTGCTTCAGGACGATGAAGAAGAAGATGAAGAGGATCGCTCATGGAGGCGATAGTAATTTTTCAATCGAATATGGATTTACATTTGACAGATGTTTGCTTGCTTTATTAATCAGCCATATTTTCATTTTTACACTGTCATTTGTATTCAAATATCGTATTTATGTACAAAGTTTGTTATACTTTTCTTCAGGAAAACAGTTATTTTTAGCGAATATGATGATTTTTCACTTGGTGTTTACTTTGTATGATTAGTACTAGAATTGTGAACCGAAAATCAGTGTTTGTTTCTGGGTGGAACTTGATTTTTGGTGCTATTTGTTTTTTGAATGTAAAAATTTGAAATGTTATTGAATATTAATTAACATGTACTGAAAACGACAAGAAAAAAAAACAGTGCCCTCTAAAAAATTGAAAATAGTAATGAAAAAAATTTGAAAGTCTATATACTGACTAAAGTATAAAAAATATATATTGATACTTAGAAATAAGTAGCAAAAAATAATCAGAAAAAACCTATTGAATTATATTGATTTTACTATATTTGCAAGTAATTATAGGGCACAAAAAAAATCATTTCCCAATAGAATTCGTTTGACGTCATTCATTTTGAACATGGTCGTTGGAGTTGCTGATAGGGGTAAGTACTGCAGGTTTGTATTTTCAATTGATTAGTTCACCACTTAGCCACTTTTTATGGTTTTGGACTCTGAGTGTCAAATTCCCAAAGCCGACCGAAGGGCTATAAACAAGTGCATTAGAAGCATAGGATTAATCGGATTCATTATTTTTTTTTGCAACCGACACAAAAGACGTCCATTTTCATACCAAAATTAGGTCTTGAATTGATGTTCCTATTACTGACATAAACATAGGTATGTTGCTAGGCAACACATTTAGGTCCTAGGAGCTAAAGTTCAACTTTAGCTCCGAGGAACTGAAGTTGAACTTCAGCTTTGCTTAATGGAGGAAAGGGGGAGGGGGGTGAGGGTGAATAAGAGGGACATTTGGAAGATTCACTTTTATTACCCTATCTGACTAAATTAGAAAATAACCAGTAACAAATCTCATACTGAGTAATACTCCTGTCTCATACTTCATTAAACATCACAATTTGTCTAATAGAAAAATAATTACCGCCTATCATTAATTCGAAAGAGTATAATAGATTTATGTGTACAATTTTAAAATGTTTCTATATTCACAATTATTAGTCTTTTAGGTTATTATCAATAGGGGTAACTAGCAGCATTATGCATCTCCGTATTTTTCTATTCCTTGTCTCTCAAAAATAAAACTATCACAATATATAGTCCAATAAATAAAGGGAAAAAGTTAACATTAATTACGCACTATTTTCATCTTCCAGTTGGAAGTAGCTTTTGGTACCTCAAAACTTGAGACAAAGTTTGACTGGAAAACGCGTGCGATGGCGGAGAAAATGGCCCCAAAAGACCAGGAAAATAGGTTTTCAGCCAATATCTCCTAAAATATGGCAGTTAGAGATTTTCGGTTCAGATAAAAATTGAAGTTCAGTTAATTTTCTACAAAAATGGTCCTTATCATTTTCTCGAAAATTTGCCCGGTTTCGAGAAAAACGGCTCGAAGCGCACCTCGAATAATGAGCTTCTGTGTTGTATGCCGGAGAGCACAGTCCGTGTATTTACACATCGGCGGGGGGACAAATTATTCAATAACTTTGTTAAAAATGCATATTTTCTCATGATTCAAAGTTCATGTGAAAGAGGAATTCTGCTGCTATCATACCCTGTGAATGGAGTCACGCTTGACTCTTTTGGCCATATCGGAACATGGGTCAAACTTTCTGCTCCCAGTCAATTTTGACCTCGCCAGGAATTTGTTCCTATTTTTTTTGTATTGCACTAATTTACTCAAAATTCTCTTGATTATGGGTCCTCATAAGGTCCTTCGTCATCCCTGAAATTTATATACCCTAATTTTTTTTAATTTTCATTTAATCTTTGTTTATTGAATCCCAATTTTTTGCTGTTTTTGGAGCGCGGGGAAATTAAAAATTTATACATGATCCGATTGGTTTCTATGATACATCATTTGAAAGCTAAGAAGGTCTACTTTTCGATTGTGCAATTACTTTGTTAGACGAAGTCGTCCATTTTTCAATAAAATTAGAAAAAGCGGGGTCAAGGAAAAAAACGCACTTTTTTTTTTCGGTGTTTTTTTTTCTCCGTGCTCTTCATTTCTAACATTTTAACACCTTAACTAGTGTAACGGGGGAATTCCCACCTTTCCATCGATGTATATAAGTCATACCTTTGATATCCCGGGAAAAAACCAGTATATCTAAATGTACACGCTATAATTTTGTAACGAGTATGGGTTTGCACAATGAAGTTCAATACAGAGAACACTACTAATGAGTATATATCTATATTCTTCCTAAATTTGACAATCTAAAATAGAGATAATCTTAACATGATGCTGACTACAATAACCTAAAATGAGTAACTTACCTAACACCAGGTCCAATTGCGTTACGCAGATAGTATCGTACGAATCTGTATATCAATCACACCACTAGGCTGTTAAATATATCTTATGAAAGAGAATTATGATTTTTGAAAACAATTTCATGTAGCCGTAAATAACGTCTACTATGACAACAATCTGGAAATCTGGACAGGATGTTCATTTATTCTATTGATAGACCGTATGTTATTCTAGTATTCTGCTACAATTTATTACTTTCGTTCCTCCGTCGTTCGCCGCGTGTGTGCTCTACGTGGCGCTCGGGTCGTCTGCTACAAACCATGCGGCCACGCAGGGTATGATAGCAGCAGAATTCCTCTTTCACATGAACTTTGAATCATGAGAAAATATGCATTTTTAACAAAGTTATTGAATAATTTGTCCCCCCGCCGATGTGCAAATACACGGACTGTGCTCTCCGGCATACAACAGAAGCTCATTATTCGAGGTGCGCTTCATTCCGTTTTTCTCGAAACCGGGCAAATTTTCGAGAAAAATGATGAGGAGCATTTTTGTAGAAAATTAACTGAACTTCAATTTTTATCTGAACCGAAAATCTCTAACTGCCATATTTTAGTAGATATTGGCTGAAAACCTATTTTTCTGGTCTTTTGGGGCCATTTTCTCCGCCATCGCACGCGTTTTCCAGTCAAACTTTGTCTTATGTTTAATGAGGTACCAAAAGCTACTTCCAACCGGAAGATGAAAATAGTGCGTAATTAACGTTAACTTCGCCTTTTTTTTCCTCCTTCATTTATTGGACTAATAGGTCGCCTGATCAGAGTTGAAATTCAAATGTCAGGAATATTGAAAATCCTTCGAAAAATACCGGCTAACGCATAAGCTGTTGTCATATCGAGTTGATGCTGTTTGATCATCACATTTCAGGGTCCTCCGCATTACGATTTTCGATAACTTCTTCATCCACCTTGTTGTACCTCCTCCTGATGGCTTCTTTCATTTTCAAAAATGTTGATACGAATGTTATACCGTTGTAAAGACACATTCCGGCAAGAAGTAGAACAAAACCAAGAAGCTGTAAAATGAATCCAATGAATTTTTGATAATAACTGGACTTCAGGTTACTGATGAGGATATGAAATCCGAAATGAGTTTTACTCGAGTTAAGTCATATAAGTGAGAGATATAATTCCCATGAATGATTTTTTTGGAAGTTCCAAGCTCATCAAGATCAGAGTTCATAAAAGTGTACTTCTCCTACAAATTTCGATTTTCATTTCAATACTCAACATATTGGTAAGTTATATTTTTATATCATAATACATCATATTCTATTCGATTTGAGAGATAATGACAATTCTCAATACTCTCTTTTTAATTATTGAGCATTTTATTTGATGCCATGAAGTTACATTCTTGTAACCTAAACAAATCAAACTCTATTGATCATGAGAAGCTATCAAGAAGTTTATGAATTAGTTTCCCGAGAAACAAATAAAAAAATCTAGAGTTTGCCGATCTATTAAAAACGCAATTTAAATAAATACTTAGGAAGATTTAGTATAAACAACATGTAGATTTGGCAACGTTGTAAATGGTATTTTAGATCAGACTTGCTGAAAACTTCCTTATAAATTAATTTTTATTGTCATATCGCCACGATTTCTCGAAATATTGAAATTTCGTGATATTTTTCGACGAAATGTTCATTTGTCATATCAACAAAAATAAATTTGATATTATAGGGTCATAGTAGTTTTGAGACGACAAATCGAATGAGCTAAAAATAAACATAGCATTACATTTAAAAAAATAAAGTTGAGGGCTCTATGGGAAAAACTGTAAAACTGGCAAACGTTGCAAATATTATTTTTAGATCCGACACAACTGATTACCCCCGTATACCAAATTTCATAATTTTATGTCAAGCCGTTGCTGAAATATTCGGCCGTTCCGGTTCTTTTGGGAAACCCCCAGTATATCCAAATATATCTGAAAATATTCCTCTTCAATAGATTTTTGATATCTGAAGTTAATCAAATTTGAATATACGGGGTGGGGTATTAGTGCGTCGGAGCTCGATTGCTCGACTTCTATGATAGCTAGAAACCTGATTCAAAAACGAATGTGAATGAGACAACAAGGCTCATAACTTGAAATTATTGCCGCATATACAGGAGGCACCGGAAAAAATCGAGAGGGTCAGGATCACTTTTCTTAAATGGAATACCCTATATATTAGCACATTTTTTGAAGCATACCTGTGACCTCCATCCACTCCTATAATATTGTTGACTATATGCCGATAATTTCAAAGTTATAAATCACTGTATTCACAATAATTATGAAATTTAAGATAGAATAATCATAACATCATTTGATGGAAATATGCGTGATTCAAAGTATACAGGGTGGCGAAAAATGATTCTTCAATTCGGAACTTTACAAAGTTATTTTTTTCAAATGGAAATGGGGAGTATTATTTAGTAGTTAACATTTTTTAGCGTCAAGATTTGCTGAGGTCATTGGGCGGTTCTCACCTGCAGCCAATGGAAGACTTGACCCATAAAAGCCAAACTGAATACCCAGATGACGATGGTACGAACACTGTCTAGTACCATCCTGGTAGTCGCCGATAGTTCTTTGGTAACACTGATACCGGCGAAGTTGAAAAAGGCAATTGATATGACGGTTCCTAGAAATTAATATTCCACTTTTATCTAGCTCATTGAATCCCAAAGCTAAAGTGCAAAAATGACCACAAACACAGAGTTAAAGTAAAACATGTCTGAAAAACTGGCTCATTTTGCAAACTGCCCAACACTTGAAACGATTTTCAATTATTTTTTAAGTTTCTGAATATTAATAATAATAATAATAATAATAATAATAATAATAATGATGATAACGGTAAATGCATTTATCATACGATGGTTTTTTTTTTGGACTTACGTATTGTTGTCTGATGAACACGAATTTGATAATGAAAATGTGAACAAACCACTATTTACCGAGTTATTTCAAGAAAAAGTTCGAAATTTCGCCTTCTTTTTCCCCTTGTGTTGGATGCATTTTCAGCTACTTGCTCTTCTTATTTTGTCATTGGACACTTTATACAGTGTGTCCCACTTACCATGCTCACCATGGGTATCTTTTTAACGGTGAGAGATACGAGGTCGGTTGAATGACACCAAATGTGGAGTTTGTCAAGGCCAACTATAATGTGAAAAACTATTTTGATGAAATCTATTCGTTTTTGTTTTATACGCAACAAACAGATTTTGATCATTTTCTTGTCTCCTCCGTAACTTCTTCATTTATGAAAATATTCAAATTGGAATTTCACATTCTCATGGCAGTTTTTCAAAGTGATTTCGAAAGAAATATGAAATTTATACAAACTCTTCTAGAATTTGAGATATCAGCACCAACTTTAGTTTTTCAAAAAATGTAGGTCATAGCTCACTATGACTTAGTTACAAATAACTTTTTTTTCTTTTACAGATGATGTGTCGCAGTAATAGTTTTGTGTTGATAACAACGGAGTTATCGTCATTTATACGAAAACAAAAAATTATTCGGAAGCTGACATCTTGAATTTATAAATTTCAACAAAAAAATCATGATCTACGGCCTCAAAAACCCCCACTTACCAATTTTGAATGGAATCGGACCAAATCTTGTCCGCCATCTTGGAGCAGCCATTTTTTCAATTTCAACAAAAATTCCATGATGTATTGTTACCGAAATTATGAACACCTGCCAAATTTCAAGTTAATCGGAGTTATGGAATTTTTGTTGAAATTAAAAAAAATGGCTGCTTCAAGATGGCAGACAAGATTTGGTCCGATTCCATTCAAAATTGATGAGTGGGGGTTTTCGAGGTCGGAGATCATGATTTTTTGTTAAAATTTATAAAGTCAAGATGGCGGCTACCAAATAACTTTTTGTTTTTGTATAAATGACGATAACTCCGTTGTTATCAACACAAAACTATTATTGCGACATATCATCTGTAAGAGAAATGAAAGTTATTTGTAACTAAGTCATAGTGAGCTATGACCTACATTTGAAAAACTAAAGTTGGTGCTGATATCTCAAATTCTAGAAGAGTTGGTATAAATTTCATATTTTTTTCGAAATCACTTCAAGAAACTGCTATGAGAATGTGAAATTCCTAATTGAATATTTTCATAAATAAAGAAGTTACGGAGGAGACATGAAAATGATCAAAATCTGTTTTTTGCGTATAAAACAAAAACGAATAGATTTTATCGAAATATCTTTTCACATTATAGTTAACCTTGACAAACTCCACATTTGGTGTCATTCAACCGACCTCGTATCTCTCACCGTTAAAAAGATACCCATGGTGAGCATGGTAAGTGGGACACACTGTATAGTGAACTCGCAAATTTTCAAATTCGGTCCACTTATGGTTTTTTATTATATTGATCGATGCAGTTCCCGGAGGGACACTCTGTGTAGCTATGTGAATTATCTAGTTTTTTTTTTTTAATGAAGGCTCGTCAATACAGTTTAAGCTTACCTAAAATGGCAACTGAAAGTTTTCCACTATGTCCGATTTGGACAAATGCATCAATAGCATCTTCTAACCTGTCCCCGGCCTGTGATGTTACAGGGGGACCAGCGTGGATAAAGTAGAACGGGATTTGGAGTAATGCGAGGACGACAAAACCAAACAAACCTAGAAACGAATAGAAAAATGGAAGAATCTTATGGGTAACTCCATCAACCAACGATGAAAATAATGTCTATGGTGCTTCATCGTCTTTTGGGAGGGTTATAACTTATAACAAATATGTACAGTGCTGCCCAAAAAATTCGTAACGACTCTTGGTCGAATTCAGATATTTTTGTCTATGCAGAAATAGAAATATTCAGAGATACACCTGACTATCTCGTACCACAATAAGAAATAAGAGATTGAAACAGCGGGTGGTTGGAATATACTAGGTGTTTTTGAAATAAGTGCACATATTCAGCACAATAATATGATAGTCTGAGGAATATTCCCATGATATCAGATTTTTCCTAATTCTTCTGATTAGCGAGAAATTTCAGCCTAGAAATTGAACAAAATTCGAAAAAAAAAATCAAGTACGCCAATTTAAAACAATTCAAATGATTGAACTCCGCGTGACTGTGCCTACCGCATGGAAATTTGAAAAGAGCTGACGTCAGGTTTGCTACAGTGTAGAACTTTCGGCGGAAGAAGAGGTCTAACCTCAAATTTTATTTTGATGCCATTCGATAGTACACGTCGAGCTTCCTCAGTGTTTGAAATATTTGCACTTATTCCAATGCCACCCTGTATACTAGTTCGAATGCATAAACCTAATTTTCAAAGGGATTTTCATAGAAGTCGTTACGAATTATTTGGGCAGCACTGTACATGAAGAATATGACATATAATCTTACAACATATCTCTATCTATACATTCTCACAAGAATAAATACTAGCAAAAAGCATTTATATTATACAGGGTGTCCGCGAGAATGTGAAAAATCTCTTAGAATCAGCTAGTAAGTACATGAAAAAATAAGATGCAAATTCCTATAAACATTAGTCGTCACACCCCAGGTATCACAGTTGTCTTTAGATACGTCTTTATGACATCGATTTCAGGTAAATATTGATCAAAAAAGTCATGTGACCAATATGGGACGTTAAAATGACATCGATTCTTATGACGTTAATTTAACAAGATCCAAATAACGGTCATAATGACGTGAATACTCTTTCCGAAAAACGGCGTCTATGTAGTGACGTCTAGTTGATATAATATTGATGTCATTACTGTTCACCATAAAAAAATGTTTCATCATTATCACCAAATATGGATCGAGACACTATCACATTGCCCAACACATTTTATTAACCTAAATGCCCTGAAATGTAATGAAGCAGGGTTATAACCCGCCGTATCATTTTTTCGATCCACGGCGCTAAAGTGATACTTTTCGCCCCATGGCGCTAAAGTGATACTTTTCGCCCCATGGCGCTAAAGTGTTACTTTTCGCCCCATGGCGCTAAAGTTCTACTTCGCGCCCGGTCATGCATAGTTAATATTTATATTACCTTCCCAACCGACTGCTTGTAAAGGAGGAATGTCTTGACCTGCTACGAATTTCTCCTCCACCACCATCTGGATTGATTGAATGATTTGAGCAATGACAATCAACATATCACCTGGAATATTTTCCTCATTTAAAAAATGTTCCATAAGAGCAATGCAATTATCGAAAACTTTTTTCACATACCAGCGCTATATTCAACATGTCTAAAAAAAGATCATTCAATGTTCTTACCAGTGATGATATCATTATTTCCATGACTATCATCAGGATCCTTAGAAATGAAATCTGCAACTCCCACAACTGCTAAACCAATAATGACAAATACAATTCCAGACCATTGTCTTTTATTTAACACCCTGTGTAAGAATCCAGTACTCAGCAAACCAACAAAAACTATCACAGAACCTGTGAAACAATTTAAATATTCATGAAAATTTCAATTCAAATTACAAAACAATTTTTTCAAGATTTAAATCAATAGACTAACCTCTAAACATTTGGAAGCTAGAAGCATAAGTCAAATTGAGACCTATATACATAATGGAAGTTGCTGTCATGTCACACATAGCTGGTATAAATAGAATGAAAGGGTTGAAGGTCCTGTTGCCCTTTGTAAGTTCATGAACATCTTCTGTGCCATCCTAATACATAAAAAAATCTGAAATCTAAAAGGGGTCAATTGTTCTAAAATAATGGGGGAGACCACTGATTTTTTAAAATGACATTATCGTGAACTATATACTGAAAAACTACCGGCGAATTAATTTTGAATTTTGTCATTCATGCTAAGACGATGGAAAAAATAAATTAGAATATGTCCATTTCAAAACACACAATTCCTGCGCCATTTGAAATTTTGTCAATTCATTGGTGTGACTGGTGCGACGTCTTATTCCCAACACGCCTATTGTCCTTGAACTGACCAATCACACTGCCGAATGACGAAGTATCAGAGAGAGATAGCTACAGTTCGGGACTAATACGTCACGACTCCACCATCATATTTGGCTGTTTGAAATATAGAATGAAATATGCTGATTTCAAAACGATATAGATTCGATTCCCTTCAACTTTAACTCATAATATTGATTGTACATCAAACGTAACTCATGATTCGTCGATTGAAAGAGGTTTGCACGGATTTCTTCTCTCAGTGGTCTTCCCCATTATTCCAGTGACATCTGAAAATTTTCCCTCTCATTTTAATGACACACCCTGTATACCAAATTCTTGAACAGGGCTAGTTTTATTAATGCTAACCTCCCTTTATCTTTGTTTCTCATTAGAAACAATTGAAGCTGATTTTATACAATTTTGCATACAGATTTCACCTCGGATTTCACTCATATTGACAATGATGCAATATCTCTTCAAATATACAGGGTATTGAGAAAAATATTTTTTTTCCAATGGAATGCGCCATATATTTTGATAGATTTGGATTCCTCAATTCATCCTGATTTCAAATATACAGGGTAACTCACGGACGATGGTACGTTAGACGTTTATGGAGAACGGGGCATAGGATCATTCTGAAATTTTGGTTACTCACGTAGTTGCTCTTGGTCTATCGATCTAAAATATTTTCAGCTCTGCGGCGTTGCCGCTTCTATCGAAAAGTAGCAACAACTTTGTTATTTTAAATGGAACACCCTGTATTTTATTGCATTTTCAGATTCTCTCTGAAGAGCTGATTTCATCGATGTATCACACTTGCGGTGTAGCTTAAATGATTACAGAGATATAGGGTGTGAAAAATCGTCATTTTTCAACTTTAGGAATTTTTTTGGTCGAAACTATTCATTATTGGTCAAAACGGCTTACATGTCACTATCTCAACTTTTGATTAAATATCTACTGATATTTAATTGGGACATATACCGGGTGATCAAAATTCTGAATTCTGCACGACCCCGTATTTGTTTCAATTAAATGTCAGTACCTAGATAGTGAATCGAAAGTTAAGATAGGGACATGTAAGCCGTTTTGATCGATAATGAATAGTTTCGACACAAAAAATTCTTGAAATTGAAAAATCTCGATTTTGAACAATTGAATAATTCCTGCTAGACCCCAAGTGTGATACATTGATGAAATCAGCTCTTCGAGAAGAATCTAAAAACGCAATGAAATACAGGGTGTTCCATTTGAAATAACAAAGATGATGCTACTTTTTGGTCAAAGTGGCAACGCTGCATCGCTGAAAATATTTTGAATCGTTAGATCACAAACGCTTATCAGAGTAACCAAATTTTCAGGATAATCCAATGTACCGTTTTCCGTATACGTCTAAGGTACCATCGACCGTGGGCCACCCTGTATGTTTCCTTCAATAAATGAGAATACATTGAGAAATATGAATGACTATCTTGAAAGTTTGTACTTTTGAACCAATTTGAAACAGGTCAAGAGCTAATGCATGTGTGAATTGGAGAATGATGATATATAAACTTATCTCACCTCTTCATAATTAGATTAGAAATTGAGATTAGAAGATCTAAGATGAACAACAACTGTGATTGAACACTTGAAATACATATCTCAAACACTGATTATTCATATACAGTGAGTATGTAAAGATTGGAACAAATTCATCAAAGGTTTGTCATAGCTGGAAAAGTAGTTGTTTTCTGTTGAATACACCAAGAAAGAATTAGTATTCTTATCAGATAGAGAATGTGAATTATCAATGCATTTCTTTGTATGTATCTATTTTAAATCTCGTTTTTAAACATATCTTCAAGTATTTTTTTAAATTATTATTTAGACTAAGAACTTGAACTGAAATTCATTGTATTTTATACAGTGTCATTCATAAAGTCGGCATCATATGGGAAAAACTTTTATTAATGACTTATTTTGAAATTCGAGTTGGACGTCAAGTTTTGCTTCAAAAAAGATGAAAAATGGCCTACTCATTCGGGGTCACGTGACTTTCGCTACATGTCAAAAGTGACATTTTTTCAAATTAATCGCTGAAAGTAGGCTTATTTGTTCGAATATCGAAAAAGTTTACTTGAAAAAGTTGTTTCTATTTGAATTTTACATATGTGACTCGGATTTTATCTTTCTATTACATTTATTAGATTTCGATATTTTTTGAAAAATTTCGAAATTTTTGTAATATTAAAAAAATTGTAAATTCGATAAAACTACTTCATACCAGTAGCTTCATCATGTTACTAACTAATTACTAATTATCACTAATTATCGACAAAAATATGATTTTCTTCAGAAAATGATAATCTCCTCTTCAAAATTCTGTTATGTTTGATGCAAACATAACATCAAAATTCTTTTATGTTTGAGCATAGATTAAATGGTTTGAGTCAAGCATTTAGAAACGAAATTCATTCATATTTATTTTTTCAGTACTGAAAAGATCAGTTTGAATGAATTTCGTTTCTAAATGCTTGACGATATATCAACTTTGCATCAAACATAACAGAATTTGGAAGCGGGTATTATCATTTTCTGAAGAAAATCATATTTCTGTCCATAATCAGTCATAATAAGTAATTGAAAGTAAGTAGCATGAAGAAGCTACTGGTATGAAGTAGTTTCGTGGAATTAACAATTCTTCAAATATTACAGAAATTTCGAAAATTTTAAAAAAATCAAAATCTAAAAGTTGCAATAGAAAGATCAAATTCGGGAAGCATGTGTAAAATTGAAATAGAAACAACTTTTTTAAGTAAATTTTTTCGATATTCGAACAAATAAGCCTACTTTCAGCGATTAATTTGAAAAAATGTCACTTTTGACATGTAGCGAAAGTCACGTGACCCCGATTGAGTAGGCCATTTTTCATCTTTTTCGAAGCAAAACTAACTCGAATTCCAAAATAAAATAAGTCAATAATAAAAGTTTTTCCCATATGATGCCGACTTTATGAATGACACTGTATGTAAAATTGTAAAAACACCAGCTGTTATCTGAACAAACTATTGGTACACAGACAAATTGAAAAAATGTATAGTGTACCACCATGGAAATGTAAAATGAACTGTTTTCAACTCAGCAATATATAATTTTTTTTCTCTATTTTTTGATGTTCATAATATATCTCAGAATATTCCTCTTTTCAATACTTTGATATGACCATTGGGAAAAAGTTCCAGGCAGGTGGAGTTTCATTTTCAGATGTGCATTTGCTGGTCTACTCATATTTTTTATGATGTGCTCATAATAAATTACTTATGAGAAAAATAAGGCCATCATACTGAGAAAAATGCATTCTTTATGAAGGGTTTATCAAAAAAGGGGAGATTGCCATTAAAAAAAATTAAAATGAGATCATAACTCAAACAGTGAAGAACAAGGTGAAGAAGTAATCAAATATATGAATGAACTAACAACACCTATTTCTTTTCATCATGTAACTATTGGCAATTTAATCAAATACTGACTAGGAGATAGGTGTTGTTTTGGATATTTCATTACCTAACTGTGAATTATAAATATGTGCATTACAAAAATACCCCATTCACTATGACAAACATGATTATTTGTAGGGGCCTGCTGGTTCCTTTATTTTATGTGAACAGACAGTTATTTCACCACTACCTGTTCAGTCCTATGGTAGGTATGGTGGTTTTGGTTTGGGTTTTGCCCTGTGATTATACTTACTGCTCTTCTACTATAGTATCTATATAAAATCTTGAAAGTGAGGAGACACAGCATCTCCCCTAAAAACATGGTGCTAGCTTGGAAAAAAGGATGATTGAAATTTTTGGTCTGCCCATCTTGGCCTTTGGATTTTATTGTATCAGCCCATCTGGAAGACACTGTGTTCAAAACTGTTGACTGAAAGGCCATGTCCAAGATAAGGATTTGTATCATGGTAATCTTTTTATTTTTTCTGATATTAAGCTTTACACACCAAAACTGTACCCCATGATAGACATCCTTATTATCTTGGATACCCCATAAGATGGGAAGAGGCAGTTCCTCATTGTGTGTCATTGAGAACAATTGAAAAAATGTACTTACTTGGTACTCAAAGTATTAATACTACCAGTAATCACCATTACAAGAGAAAGAAGTATCTGGTAGTTGGTCCACGCCATGTTCAATAATTATTGTCTTGATAATCGTAAATCTAAATCTATTGACACCTTAATGCTGCGCAAGCAAACAATGGAACGATTCGGTACTAATGAACTTTGCAGGCAAGAAACAATTATTATCGTCGATTTAGCACAATATTTACTATTTGATAATAATTAATCACTGAACAGCTGACTGTGACTGATGAGCTGACAGCTGACAGTGCTGACAAGTGACAAGTAACACTGACAACAGCAGTTTTCAGTTCACGGAAATGTCAACAAAAGCACAGTATTCGCGTTGGCCCGGTGGGTATTCTGTGGTCAAGGTTTGTTAATCTGTGGTATATAGGTGTCGGCTGGGCTTGAACGGCCTGACCCCTTAAAAAATTATTTGATATTGAGCACCTCAGAGAGTCGCTGTGTAAGGTAATTTGATATATTATATGATAATGGAAATAACAAGATCATTAGTTTATCGTTGTTTTGATGCAGGTGAGGGAAGCTTGTGAACAAAATATTTTTCAAGCTGCTGTATCTTCCATACCCCTTATTTTATTCAAATTCAATCAACTTGGGCTCGTTTGAAAGCTAATTTCACTCTCATTTGAAAACTGACTCCGTTTACGGTCGCTAGTTTATACCGCGTCTTATAGAGGGCGTCGCTTATCAACTTTACGATTTTGTTCGGAATATCGTAGGAGCAGAATATTTCAACCCCTTCTAAACATACTTCAGGGTTGAAAATATCACAAAATGTGTAGTTTTATTGACAAATAATATTCACCAAGTTTCGTGTCTTCAGCTTAATATACAGGGAAAATAAAAATAACCTTATTTTTTTTTTATTTTCAGAAGGGTGTAACTTTTAAGGGGAAAGGTTCTTCAAAGAATGTTATACCAAACAGCTTCCTTAATTTTCATCACAGAATCTGCACTCATTGATAATTTTATTCGGTGTTATTCAGATAACACCCTGTATATACACATTGATTTATTGACTTACATATAGGTATGGTATAACATCATTGAGGAAGAAAATTATAATGTTTCGTCAAAAAATCAAAACCAATCAATTAGATATAGGAGAAAAAATACTATATCACATATATATACATATCCTATAGAAGTAGAGAAGAATATAAGTAATTAAAAAAATCGATTCAAAATGTATATGAAATGGAAACCAATCAGTTATATTCATCTTATTGATTTCACTGCAGGAAATAGGTTTATGAAAAAAAGAAGAAGGGCGACTATAGGTACACTCATTCACGTTGAATGACATTACCAAGGAGGGAAGCAGGAAAATAAAAAAAAAACAAATGTCATGATATTTATTGTCTCATTATGTTCCATTCCATTTTTCATTTATCACTTCAATTTTGAAAACATTAACAGAACATGATTTCATTTCACGAGCTAGTATCTATAGAATCAATTTAATATATTATATGATTAGTATCGTCTTCACCATTGGAGAACTCCTGGTATATATTTATCAATGAGACTCTCATAGTAAGGCCACAATTTTTCGATGTCAGGAACGTCAGTACTCTTGGTATACAGGTCATAAGTACTGCAAAAAAGAAATCAATATTTCTTTCTAGAACTCGAGAGCACCAAGAATAATGTTCATTTGATTTATATTATGAACATGAAAGAAATACATTGAATGAAATATGAATTCTTCCTCAGTAGGTATATCCAACAAAAAACAACTACTTTCCTGAAGGCAATATATGCCACGATCAAGAATAAAATTCAAATTGAAGCATATTTGAAGCGTACACTTTTGGTCCCTTTCATGTCGGTATGTCGGAAAACGTATAAAAGAGGTCTTAAAAACGTAAATACCAGTACGTCTTCAAGACATACGGAAATGTACGTCTCAGAAACTTCCATTCCAGACCTCAATCAGGCCTTCAATTCAATGTTTTGAAAAAGTGAATTCGATATCAAGGATCTGTTAGTAAAGTTATCGAACTTATCGCCATAGAAAAAAATTCATGTTGCAAGAAAGTTGATTTTTCTTCAGTGAACACCTATGGAAAGGCGTCTGACTGACATATATTTCAGTTTAGTTTAGAAAAATGTATGTCTCATATATGTATACTTCCTGTAGGACATAAAATTTAGTTACGTTCTTTGAGAAGCACTTACGTACCAGCGTGTACGTCTTAAAAACGTCTCAGAGCGTTACCACCGATAAAACAAGGCCTGCATGCTCCGTGGGTGACGTCACTTAGTCAGGCCTAACCAGCGGCTCGAAACGACAAGCGCTTATAGCGCTATAAGGCGACCGCGTATTTCGATTTTAGTTTTCGATCATTATTGAGCCGATTTTGCTTTGTTTTTGAAGGGCTTCCGGTTGAAAGAGGATGCCAGCCGTCAACTGAGCCATTCTTCGCATCCCATTCGATTTTATTATGGAAAAACGAAGTTTCAAAGCAAAAACCAGAATAAAACACAAATACCCACCTACAGCAACCCATTCGAATTAAATATATTGGCAAAAATTGTAGTGATTCAATCTCATATAGAGGTAAACTTCACACCTACTTATACAGGGCCCGCAGAACATAAACTTATCATGAGATTGATCGAAAGAAAATTGGGGAAAATGTATTTTAGTTTGATAGACATGCCGTTTGTTATACCTAATTACCTATATTTATCTTGGAGAATTCCTATTACCTAAATAATTAGCCAGTGAGTGTTTCCTGTTTTCCTGTTGTTGGATTTGTTACCCAATTGGTCGTTAGACTTGAAACAGTAATTTTTAAGTAGAGTGTTTGTAGTACATGTTAATATAATAGTTGCAATTTGATCATTGGAATGAATTCTGCATTCATTGCCACGAGGCAAATGACCGTTTTCAGAAAGAAATTTGAGAATGTATGTTTAAAAACCCTCTTTTTCTGATTATCAAGACATTTTCCCGAATTATGTATCTCGTTTTTATCTATTTCAATTAGTAATTCCTTGATTTGATTGATATTATTAGAGATAAAAGGTGTTTTCAGATTGGCTTTTAGAGATGTTTGTATCGCTAGGTCATACAAAAATGATTCCACATTCAAAACAAAATCAATCACAACCGAATATGTAATTACGGGCCCTGGAGAATAAGACAATTTGAATAATGTTGCAAATCGATAATTTTGAACCACTTTTCGGGCAACTGAAAAGACTCTAATACAACTAGAAATTCTTGGAATTCTGTGTAGCAAAATGATTTTTGGTAATTTTCGAATTCAGTTTTACTTTTGGTAAGTGCTTGTGCCAAATTTTTAGTCTCTAGTATCTCAAGTTTTTCATCACGACTTGTGCGTAATTTTACATCTTTCGATAAATAAGATGGACAGTTGAGAAATTGAGTGGGAATAACATCTCGTTTGAGCCTAGGAATTTTCAAATCTATTGTTACAGTTTTGCCAGTTTTTGAATCGGTTGCAGTAGATGAAGTAATAATATCATCTTTAGTAAAATGTAATTCACATACTTTACTGTACTTAGATGGAGTCGTAAAATCCTTGCGGTGAATTGCATGTACCCACTTTTTCGATAGTTCCAGTTGTCCAACGGGAAACTAAAAGCACGAACTTTTGGACCACCCACATAATTCCGCCGACAAAAGGGAACACAACACTTGTAAGGCATTGTTATTTCGCCTATCACAACACGAAATATTTCACAAAACAGTAATTTCTCCGCCAATTATTTTGATGAATAAACAACAAGAGAATTCGAGCACACGAGATTTACCTACGCCACCGTTCTTAAACAAAAACAAACTGACGATCGATCGACGCGAATGCCTTGGAAGATGGCCTGAGTATGCGACGTCACGAGCTGTTTACGTCAGAGTCTGCTGGCCTTGTTTTATCGGTGGTAACGCTCAGAGACGTACATTGACTGATTAGGATGAATCTACCACACCCTGTACACCTACTTGAATTTCAACACCCAATGCTTGGTCTGCTCGTCGGCTTTCGTAGCAAGATGGCTGTAGTCTCCAGACGAATGCCAAGGGTAGAAGCTATGGTACCTGATCATGGAAAGCGCCTGCGAGGGCAATTTGGCCTTGTTGTGCTTCAACATCCTGTATAGGTATTCGTCGTGACCCCAGGATAACATCAGGTTGTCAATGCCACAGTGGGGCTCATATATTCCGTATTTTGTACTGAAAAACATGAATAACAGGATTACTAATAGACAGAATATACCTTCTATTTCAACATCCATCATATTGAAGTGAAAAGTCTTTCAAACATACAGGGTGTTTCAAATAAATTACCTTGACAAACCTCAGGAGGCGATTTCTCACAATATTCTCAAATGAATTCGATCCTAATGTTATTATTTGTACATTTATCCACAAACGCTTTATTCATTCATTCATTTGGTTTTCCAGATACATGGGTTACGTTCACATCAGACAGTATCTCAAGTGATTGAAAGAATCTATACAGAGGGAGATATTTTTTCTGTGGTCAAATCCTTTTTCGCTCCATAAACTTTTTGTGGTGTGCCACTGTGTTAGATTTCAAAATACAAATTGAGTTTTTTGTTTTTTTTTGTGAACTTCAATAGTTTTTTAATATACAAGGGAAAAAAGTAGTAGATTTTAGCTCCAGGTTGTGTTGTCTCCCGACGCGTAGCGGGGGGAGACAAAAAACCGTGAGCTAAAATCTAATATTTTTCCTGTGTATAATACACATTTTTTTCTGTGATAGAAGGACGAATCAATATTGAGAAGATATTACATTATTTTGAAATCTGAAAATTATCGACGTGAAACTTTAAGTTTTTAACAGTAGGGACACCTGCGTTGTAGGCATCTCTATCATTCTTTTGAAGTAATCAAATATCTGATGTCACTTCTGTCAGTCTAATTCTGTGATTCGATATCAAAAAATTGCGAATTTAGTGATTGTTTAGTAATATACGTAACCGCGAAGTCGAATGGAAGATAAAAAGGACTTGCAGTTCTTTCTCGGAGACGGTATTATTGACTCATTTTTCGGAACTATAGCACAACAAAAGCCATCAACAGTATATATATGTGATATATATCCTGGAAAAAAGTAGTCACTTTTTTCCCACGGGAAAAAAGTAATTTATAAAAAGTGACATTTCATTACCTGCCAACAGAGATGAAATGCCAAACTTTTTTCCCGTCACAGAAAAACAATATTTTAACAAAATGGAGGAACCAATTATCACAATCAGAAGGAAGCGTTTGCGGAAGAATATTCGCAGAAGAAAAAGTCTTATTTTGACCTGAAGAATAAGTCCCTGGAATTTTGATACTGAATTTTTAAACACCCTGTATAGGATGGTCCGCTTTATAGTAGTAGAACTTTGACAATCCAAGAGAATACCTCGAATGAATGTTATCGAGATACTGTGTGATGAAATTGAAAATGAACTTACAACTATTTTGAGGTCACTGTTTACACAACATTCCATATATTTTGCATCTATCATTTATATAAATTCAATTTTTCAAGAGTCAATATCGTGTTTTGATGAAATAATATTTCTTTTCCATTTAATAACAGAGTTATCAATTTTATTGGAAGATAAAAAGGTCATTCACGACATTCAGTAGGTATGAAGGAAAAAAATGAGGGGTTCTTACAGGACAATCACACAGAATTTATGATATATTTCATCACATTGTGAAGTCCACATACTTCTTGCCATGAAATTTTATTGGAATAAGTTCAATGTGCCTTCTCAAATAAAAAAGTTACATGTATTTGAAGTATCACATTTGATAGAATATTGAAATGATAAGGATATTGACTCTTATGAGCCCATCAGGAGTTACAAAGCATACAAATTCGACTTGGACGTTGAATTTTGCTTGGAAAAATATGAAAAATGCCCTACTCGGTCGGGATCACGGGACTTTCACCATGTCAAAAGTTTTTTATTCAAAAATATCGCTGAAAATAGCCTTATTTGTTCGAATTTCAAATACGTTTACTGAAAAAAGTTGTTTTTTTCTGATTTTATACGCGTGTTCCAAATTTGATGGTTCTGTTGCAACTTTTAGATCTTGACATTTTTTCAATCTCTACGAATATTCTGTAAGTTTGAAAGAATTGTTCTTTTACAAAACTGTTCAATATCATTTGCTTCATCCTGCTGCTTTATAACTTTTAATTACCAATTGTCAAAAAAAAAAATATATTATATATTTCAGAAAATAATAATCTCACTTCAACTTTCTGTTTTATTTGATACAAAGTTATTGATGTATCGTTAAGCAACTAGATCATTGTCGATTTAGGACTAAAAGTTATAATCAGATGAATTTTTCTATAATACTGTGAACTGATGCCAAAGTCATCAATCAAAATGTCATCAAACTACTTCGCGTAAATCAAGGTTTAGGACAGTTTTCTCGGAGTACATTTTATTTATATAACTGAAATTTGGTAGAAATTGAAAAAAAATTGAAAAATCTAAAAGCTACAATAGAACCTTGAAATTTGAAATTCATATATAAATTGAATTTGAATGAATAACTTTTGACATCCAGTGAAAGTCATGTGACCCTGAACAAATAGGCAATTATTCATCGTTTTTAGAGCAAAAATCAACGCCCAAATCGAACTTCGGAATAAATTATCATTAAAACAGCTTTTCCCATATGACACCAACTTCCTGACAGACACTATATAAACTTTATAGTATAAAGTATAACCATAGATCTTAACTCAGAAACCTACGAAATGCCTATACGAAGTTTTATTTTTGAAATAGCTGTAGCTGTTATTTCAGAGAATAGGTCTACCTATATAGAGTTCCTAAAAAATCTGACGATCAATGTTCTAAAAAGTGTGATGGTATGAAAAGCATTACATGGCAGATCTTTCAGGTATCTACTCTTGGTATTTATGGGTACCTAGGTTTACTTACTTGTATTTTGGATTCTGGCCATCTATATTTTTGCTGAAAGACGTGTTTCGATAAACGATATTGTCACTCCATTCACAGCCAACTACGAAAGTATCACCAACGACACACCATTGGGGTTCATCGAAAAATGCAAGAACCTAAGAAATAATAAAAAATAACAATATTGTCGAATATATCTTCTTGACAAAGCAGCAACATTCTGATTCTATATAGTGATAGAGTCAAAATGCCAATAAATCACCATAACTATAGCATTTATAATCCCGATTATACGTAATGATAACTTTTGGCTTGACTATTGAGTAATATTTACGGTATTAGTTGTGTCTACGTTATAAATACGTAGTTACTACGTAAAATGCAGAAAAAAATACGAGTTAATATTAAGTTTTGACAGCGTAGCTGGAACACGCACCATAATGTAATTCTCACGTCCCATATACACGGAAATTACATAAAGATGTAGTGAACAAGATCAATAGATAATAATGATTATGATTATAATGATGATCGTGTTCATTAATGAACAATATGGTAAGTACGTAATAGTATATTATGTTACAAGTGTTATAAACGTCCTTTTAGTAACGAGTATTTTAAGCACGAGCGGAGCAGAGCGGAGCGAGTGAATTCGAAACCGAAAAGTATTTCCAAAAATTCATACTTTTCCAGCATCATGAATGAGTCCTGTCAAATGGAACCAATCGTCCTCTGGATAGTCTTTTCTTATCCTCTCAGCGGTCTGGAATGCGTGCACAATATTTGGAATATCTACGTCAGGGTCACTTTCATCCACCAGTTCGTTCAATTTTTCCAGAGCCTCCCGCATTGTGCACCTGAAGTGGTTGAACTTGCCCCATTTTTCATGTTTTCCTATAAAAAAAAATAATCTCAGAGTGGAAATGATCAAACACTGTCTGTAGGTTAATCGAGGAGGTATTCCAGATTTTTTCGAAAGTTCTTCTCCCAGTTTTTATAAAAGACAAATATCTCCATGAGTTTTCAAATACGTGTAGTGAAAAAAAATCACAAGATTTGACCCAAAGTGTCAAAAATGTTACTATTAGAGAGCCTAGAAAAAATTCAAACGATTGCGAGATCGATTGTCACTTGTTAGTAGTACCTTTTTCGTGGAAGGTATTATTCAGATCCAACAAAGAGACCTCCATCAGTGAGGACGAAAGAAAATAAGTACAATATAAAGAAAATATATACCGATAAATCAAATCTAGCTGAACATATCATTTCTGAAAATGGACAACATACCGGGTGACACAGAAGACATATTATATGTAGCAGCCTATAGATTTTTTATTTGAAGAGATTGAAATCCACAGGGGGAATATAATGAATGGTAGCGCACTTTATACGAACTTGACGACAATTTTTGTCAACCACCTGTTTGAGCGGAAGAGACCTCAACTTTTTTTTTTAATGTTACCCTGTACATTTCTTCAGTCTATCAATAGAGACGGAAAATGTATTCAAGAAACGAAAAAGTCGATATGTTGTTGACATGCAATTTTAATCAACACACACATGAAAAATAAAAATTATTGATAAAATCGATTAACTCTCGAACACATAAAACATTTTGTGCCTACTAAGTGAGATAATTAGGAAAAAATAGACTGATAGCCCTGTGGATCATCGTATAAGAGGAACAATTTCTGTTTTATTATTCCAAATGGGAAGATCATGTGATAGGTACATGGCGAAAATAAAAGACAGATAGTTTCTATACCAGAAGCTGAATTGGAAAAATATGTTCCTATCTTAGATTCCTCAATATCATGAGTTATTTTCGAAGGTTTTCATCTCGACTCAAACAAGCTATTGACAACCTGCAGACATTGATCAGAATACAAAATATTTTGAATAATATCGGTTTACTAATGATATTTAAATTTCAAAGCCTACCAAGTGTCGATATATCATCGAATTCATGTCACAGCCAACTTATTCTTTTTGAATAAAAAGCAATTCAACAGCGAATTAAGAAATAAATGCCACTTTGTGATACATGGTTGGATAGAGAATTTCAAGGCGAAAAAGATAGACTGAAGAATTGTACAGGGTGAGATTCAAAAAAAAAGTTGGGGTGACTTCCGGTCAAACAGGTGGTTGAAAAAAATGGTCGTCAAGTTCGTAAAGTGCGCTACCATTCATTATATCCCCCCTGTGAATTTCAAAATTTAAACTCTTCAAATAAAAAAACTACAGGCTGCTGAGTGAAATCATCATCATCATCATCATTTATTCATTTCCATTAGACAATTTACATTGTATTGGTACAGTCATTTTGAAAGTAGGTATATACAATAGTAGATAGAGAAGAAGAAGATACTATTTACAGTTCAAAAGTTTTCCGAACCCTAATATATTCAGAAAGACCAAAGCAAATATAATAAATAAACTCAAACAGTGCTTGAAAAAAATTCGTTCATATTGTAAAAACAGTTGTCAATTAAGAATGTTTTCAATTTGATTTTGAAGTTAGTCAATGATTTACTGGCTTTTACATAGTCTGGTAACTTATTGAATACTTTCAAACCCATATGATCAGGTGACTTGTATGATATTTCATTTCTGGAGAATGGTACATGAAAATGATCTCTTTGTCGAGTGCTATAATTATGAAAATGTTCATTTAGCTGAAATGTTTGTTTGTTTTTGAACACATATAATATTATTCATATACAAATAGGCATGTCAAAGGCAAAATGTTGTATTCAATAAACAATTCTCTACATGATACTCTACGTGAGACTTTTGCAATGCATCTAATAATGCTTTTTTGAGCAATGAAAACATTTGATACATCAGTAGAATTTCCCCAAAAACAGATACCGTACCGCAATCTTGAATCTACTTGTGCATAATACAAATTTAACATCTGATTCATCTCCAGTACATCTCTCAGATTGATGAAAAGAAATTTCAAAGAAGATAACTTAGATGCAATTTTTTTACAATGATCTTTCCAGTTTAGATTCTCATCTAGATTGATGCCTAAGAATCTAATCGAGCTATGAATGCTATACACTGGACTATTGTCAATATTAAATACCAAATCATCGACCCTCTTCTGGCTATGATGAATTCTTAAAACTTCTGTTTTTTTGGTGTTGAAAAACAAACTATTATCATTGAAATAATCAGAAACTTTGGTCATCAATTCTGAGCATTTGTTCTCAAGTGCATGGGTTTCTGCTGCCGATATAATGAATGAAAAATCATCTGCATATGCAGTATAATGTGTATCGCCAATGAAATGATCGAGTTGATTAACGTAGAGTATAAAAAGCACAGGGCCCAAAATTGAGCCTTGTGGTACCCCCATTTCTAATATCAGATTCCCTGAGTTGAATTGTTGAACTCTATTTTCCGAGAAAGTTTCTAATGAAACGAATTGTTTGCGGTGTTCTAGAAAAGAAGATATCCACGATAAGGATACACCCCTCATGCCATACATTTCCAATTTAGTCAACAGCTTTTTATGATTGACACAGTCAAATGCCCTGCTGAGATCACAGAAAACTGCAGCAGGACATTCGCCTGCATCAACATAATCAACAATCTGCTTATAAAATGAAAACATAGCGGTTGACGTTGACCTTTCCGACTGAAATCCATGCTGTTTACTTGTTAAGATGTTGAATTGATCTAAGAACGATGTGAGTCTATCTAGGAAAGCATACTCAAACACCTTTGAGAAACTATTTGGTACTGTAACAGGCCTATAGTTCCCCAATTGGGTGGGATCATTTTTTTTTGAATAAGGGCAACACTTTTCCAGTTTTCATATTCTGGGGAAAACATCCAGTTTCAAATGATTTATTCACTAAATATGTAATAGGTTCAGAAATAATTCGCATAATTCTTTTCAAAAGAAATGCTGGGATGTCATCTTCCCCTGCTGACTTTTTATTTTTCATCTTTATATTAATAATTTTTAAAAGTTCTTCCTCGGACACTGGATTCAGAAACATAGTTTTCACATTAGAGTCATTGAAATATGTGAGATTAACTGATGGAATATCATTCATCAAATCATCTTGAAGTCATAAAAAAAAGGTAACAAACAAAAGCGAAAAATCAAATCAAGAAATCTTCTCTTCTTCTGAACATAGGGAATAGCATTCTTCAGTTGATAAACATGATGGTGTAATTTGATCTATGACTCAAAATGAAGTACATGGCTACCTAGCTGATTTTAAGAAGATAAGTTCATATGAACATAATATGCCCTAAGTTCCTAACTTTTGAGCAATGAGGTGTTGACATTTTAAGAAAAAAATCGTTTCCTCATCATAACTTCAATACTGTTCTATGTAGATATTTTCATGAAATTCGATATGCACCTATATAGTACCTACTGAGCACTGATAGGCATTTTCTGATGCGATTTTTTAATGTTTCTACCAGTGGCGTCTGCTTGGTAAGTATACTGGAGATTTTCTAAAACTATTGTTCTCCCTTGCTGTTTTCGAATATCAAAATCATATTTGAAATCCTGATTTATATATTTCTCTTCTTTAAACATTTTTAAAAACAAAGGTTAATAACAATCAATTGAATTTTCCTTATAGGCTCTGTATAAGTAACATATATAAACGCAGTGACATTTTGAAGTATATCATCTTCTTTTTCTCACTAATTGAAATATTGCTCATATTTTTATTTTGTAGAATCGAGGAGAGAAAATCCCAAAAAAATCTTGAAAAATGAAAGGGATCAACATTCTATCTATGATGAAATAAGCGATTGCTGATACTGTTATCATGAATACTATAATTTATAATATACAGATGACCTCTGTTTACATTTAAGTACACGAGATAATCAATTTTGCTAATTATGTTTCATCACATACACGTTTAGGTATAATGAACCGACGAATTGCCCCCACTTTTGCGAAATCCCGTAATTAGTGAAATAATGTTTATTAAAAAACCATCAAATCATGAATTGGAATGAATTTTCTCTTATACTATTTGGTCTTTTATACAGGGTGTCCAGATATGAAACCGATAAAACCTATGGGGTTTTCGGGACTGCCGACATCGCGGTCGCTACGCCTCAAACGCAAATATTGCTTGTCAAACAATGTGTCACATTTAATCCTAATAACACTATATACTATTTTCTACAAACGTCAAAAAATGACAAGGTTCGCGCATTGATAACAAATTGCGAAGTGACACTTTTTTCAGTTTCCTATGTTACCATGATAGCTTGCACTAGACAATGCGCGAAGTAAAACAGTGCGCGAAGTACCTACTTCGCGCACTGTTATGTAAAATATATGAGATATTTATATTTCAACTTTTTGGTCCTCAATCGAGCAAACATCCACGAAATCATTTATTTCTTGATGTTCAACAATAACATTGTTTTATCTATTGGTGCGCACGAAAGGAAATTCCTATTATGTTCGTGGAACATCATGCGTATCTAGGGAGGGTAGGGGAGGCCTTTTAAGCCAGTTCAACACTATTTTTTATATCAAGCTGAGCATATTTTTACTTTAGAACTATATTTTTCGACGTTTGTAGAAAAAATGTTGTTTGCAACTCGAGCGCGAAATACTTTGGTCATCTCGACTATTTTTTTAACTCGGCTACGCCTCGTTAAAAAAATCAGATCTCGATCACCAAAGTAGTATTTCGCGCTCTAGATACAAAAATAACTATTGTTACCTATATTCTAACAAATATAAATTAATTTTCAGTCGGTGCATCAACAAAATATTCTTAGAAAATGCATTTAGGTACAGATAATTCACGACTACTTACATATTGAAAATCAGTTCACTATCGGTTTCCTTCCTATTAGATATCCTTATCTTGGTCACGTTACAGTGCGTATTAGCAATATCAGTATGACAACAAACAAAACACGTTGGGAAGGTTTATCAAAAATAATGAAGACAATGCTTCTAATTTCGAAAAATCAGGGGTATACAAACTCAACTGTGGATCCTGTCCTGAGGTATATATCGGTCAGGCAGGTCGTACGTTTAATCGGCGCTTTCATGAACATGAGATGAATTTTTTGAAAACGAAAACAAATTCAACATACGCCAACCATTTATTAGATGAAAACATCTAATGATTCAAAATGAACAAACTCAAAAATTCTGACAATCAACTAGAATAGATCATCACTGTTGAATTTGTTTTCTTAGTAGGTGATAATATGTGTTTGCTATCCACCCTTTCAAGTTAATCCGGTTCACCGTATTTTGATGTCGATATTATGCCTAATTTCCGAAAATGAAGGTTTATCGTACCTGTTCACAGGTAACTAATCCTTCAGGTTGGGAAAGTAAGATATTTAAAAGTTAAGCAAGCCAACGTTAGTTTAGTTCATTGAATCAGTATATATCACCTGACGAAGCTACTGTGTTAGCAAAACATGTTGTGTGTTTCTGTTTTTTGTGGAAATCTTATCGTTTGTGAAGTTTTTACAATCGAGTCATTGTTGTGATCCACATATCAAATCCAATATCTTCGATTTTTTGCTTGCGCACTGAAATTTCCCGAAACTGATAAAGATTATCAAACAATTCTGACCTTTTACGAAATCCACTGTCTGATTCGTGTGCATCAACTCGTACGTTCTTCTGACTCTTTCTTTCACATGGTCATTTTCGTCCACTGAATAGTCACGAAATTGGCCGATGTCTTTCGTGGCAAAAGCTGGCTCAGGCCTGAGCAGCTCAGAGGGATCGATTATGTTAACTGAGTCGCAGTCTTTCTGAAAAAAAAATCCTATAACCCAGCATAAAGTGATTCGCCGATTCTGAGAAGGTTTTTATAATAATCTCGTAGAACATTTCGAATATTCTCAGAATGTTTCCACAATAGAATATTCTAAGAACATGCGAATGGGATGAACATTCCTTTCAAGGATCGATATAGGAGGAAAAAATGTTCATAACTGTATGTTCCAAAAGTGACCAGGTAATGCTTTTTGGTGTATGATAAATTGACATTCCTGTGTGTGAGAGATAATATTTCCCATATCACTGATATGAATGATTATTTTTGGAAGTTTTCAAGCTCATCAAGATCAGAGTTTATGCCAGTATACTTCTCCTATACATTCCAATTTTCATTTCAATGCTGAATATATTGGTAAGTTATATTTCTATATCATTATACATCATATTATTCATCCGATTTGAAGAAGAATGTCAATTCTCAATTTCGGAGGATTTTATTCTTCATTTTTCATGTTCTTCTTTTGAATGTTCATCAGATATAATTCAATGTTCGACGAGGCAAATAGCCAGGAAAGTAGTTGTTTTCTGTTGAATATTCAGAATGATGTGTGCATATACATATTTTTATCTGAAGGAGAATGCAAATTCTCAATTTCAGAAGTTTTTATATTTTATTTTCAAACTCTTATCGTGTGTGTTCAATAGATATAATTCAATGTTCGTCGTGGCATATAGCCAGGAAAGTAGTTGTTTTCTATTGAATCAACTGAGAAAGAGTAAATATTCTCATCACATAGAGAATGCGAATTCTCAATGTATTGCTTTATATAAATATATATCCATTTTTGTATTTCATAATTTATCTGAGAATATTCCTTTTCAATGACCAGGTAATATTTATTTCACACACTTTGAAAAAAAAAACAACAACCAAAAACTGTTACAGTTCAAACATGATACAAATACCATAGGTAGAAGGATCATGGATGCTTCAAGGTGTGTGAAAGCATTTATTCAATTTAAATAAAAAATAGCGGTAAATTTGAATTCACGTTGAATCCTATTGCTGCCGCAGATGAGCATGACAAGAATTTATCAGAATCAGAGGAAAGGATTTTGAATATTCAATAGAAAATAAATTTTTTCTAAAATATTTTACCCCCTCTATCTCGAGAACGAAGCAAGTTAGAACGTATGTTTATGCGGGACACAGATTTTTTTCTCTTTTTCAGAGTATCTAAATAATATATTCTATGAACGTACTTGGAGACCATACCTAGAATATTCGAATATGATCATTCCTGAATAACATTCATGAAATATAATGGAATATTCTAGGAACGTTCCCAGGATATTTAGATGGAATGTTCCATGAATATTCTCGTAAAACATTCTATGAACATCCATAACATCCTCATCCTCGGAATATTCTGAAAGGGGTATGTTTGGAACGTTATTAAAAATCTAATTTTGTTGTCGAATTCCGTAAGGAAATGATGTTTAATTCCTGATAAACTTCATCAGGAAATTTGAGGAGTTATTAAACAGCTTCAATTTTCCACAGTTAATATTCAATTTTGAAAAATAGCGAATTTTCAATAAATATATATCTATATTATGAAAACAAGGAAAATACATTTCTGGTATTGAGAAATTGCATCAGTTTTATGGATATCAAATGATTGTCCAAACTTACCAATACTCTCATCTTCCTTTTTTTTAACTCCACTCACTTCAACTGAATAGTACCAACAATCGAGCTGGAGATTAAATACCTCATATCTGCCTCCAACACCATTTAAATAACTAAATCATTATCTATGGCAGAAGATAAAAAATCACTGGCTACAAGATTTTCGCATTCATTTGACAATGTATACATCAGAGTTTCAAGTCATAATAACAATTACAACATGGCAAATTCAATACAGAGCCGACTCTAGCCCTAACAAATATTAGCCGTTTAGAGAAACAAACGTCTGCATCATCAATTATTTTCCATATTGATCATTTCGTGTACAAATAGTATTTTGATGCAATCATTCGTTATTTAAAATCATCCAAATATATTTTCTTCAATAATGAAATTTGACACCTTGGAAAAACGCCAGCTTCAATTATATCATGAAGCAAACCAAAAGTAATCGGTTTTTAAATTCTGACTTTAGCATAAAAAAGTAGGACCACATATTTCGACGCTGCCAGATTTGTATTTAGTGATTAATAGAGCCCCTGTATGTATTTGACAGTTTTGCTGTGATGTGAACAGTATTCACATTCACAGAAGACAATAGTTCGACCTGGTGCCTATAATAATCACTTATTGAATACTTATATACTAGCAATAAGATGCTTCAAAACCAAAAGAATGATCGAGATTTAATTTGAACCCAAATTATTTTGTGGCTCTGACCACATCGTAACGCTTGGAGTTCCCGGAAATACAAGAAGAGAAGAAAAACTATAAATGGTGTGCATTTGAAGTTTGTAGTTCGCGGTCAGATACTTTGAAAGTGCTCAAAAAACTCATGCTCCTTGATACGGATTCGCAAACGCATATACGTTGGTGGCTTAGCGCTCCCATCAATGGTGCATTGAAATTTGTTGACGCTGTAGCACTTCTGAGTCAATAATTCAATCGATGGTAATGTGAGTTATGGCCTGCTGGCGGCCGCCTAGACATCTCGACGCCAGAAAAGAACATGAACACCATCCTTGGCAATGTGTTCCAGAGCCTCCATGTTCGTTGGATGAACGAGTCTTTGGAAAGAGATGTTCTGCTGGTCTCCAAAGTGACCACGAAGGGGTGCAAAGCCTCAATTCGACGGGTTAATCTCGCGGGGACTGCCAAGGGAGGAACAATTGTTGATATTTCAGAAGAGCATCGTCCATGAAAATATCTATAAAATAGAGCCAGATCGCCAAGTTTTCTATGGTGTTCCAAAGAAGTGAGTGAGTTTGTGAGCGAGGCATCAGCCACGAGACGAATTGCCCTTTTTTTGGACAGAATCCAACATTTTCAGGGTATGTTTGGGTGCTGAACTCCAGTATTCCAGGACAGGTCGGATCTGTGCCTTATAGATCATGAGCAGCTGACTGAAATTGAAGTAGCTCTTACCCCAAAACAGAAAACCAAGTTTTTGGGATGCACTTTTAGCAATTGATCTCACGTGATTTTTCCAAGAAAGGTTATTGCTGATAGTGATACCAAGCATCGAAATGGATGTCTTCAAAGGTATGGTAACTCCTGACAAGCTTATGTTGGGCACAGTTAGATCGGCTTTTCTAGAGAAAAGGCATGCTTGTGTATAGTTTGCATTGAAATCTACCAAGTTATTGGATCCCCATTCGAGTCCATATTGATGTTGTCAACATTTCTCCCTGGTTCGTTTCTGATTTGCCTGGCTGGAATCGGAACCCTGGAAGACAAGGCTGTATGGAGGGTACTATCGTCCGCGAAGCTGTGAATTGGCCATGAAGCTGCTTCCAACAATTCGGGGATATGGAGTAGAAATAGTGTTGGTGCTAGAATTGATCCTTGCGGAACACCAGCATTTATGATAAGATAGTCAGATGAAACTCCGTCGACCACTACATGGAAAGACCTGTTTGAGAGAAAAATAGCTAGCAGAGAACATAGCTGGGGAGGCAAGCCATAAGATGGAAGCTTGGCGAAAATTAAGGCATTCCATAATATAATTACTGAGTATATATAATTGAAAAAGTTTTTCAAAGAGGTTGGAGGTATGTATTTGAGCGAACACCATGTAGTTTGTTTTTGAATGTATGATAAATTGATATTCATGATACAGGAAAGAAATTCTGTGAGGAAACCTAATCAGACGTCAATATAGTAGCTATAATTGATGATTCGTCTACGTTTTTCAAATAATGGAGACACACTGACGTTTTGCTTGAAAGCTTATTATTAAAGAAGAGTTCATTGAAATTTACAAATATATAGTTTTATAAAGGCCTGCAGAATCTCCTGATTATTTTGATGCACACTATATATTCCTGTGATAGCAGTTCTATTAACCCCAATCTAGGGGTGAATATCTTGGCAAGGGACGTATTTTTCCAAAAATGTATTACATTATTGGTTTCCAGAGATGGAATCAAATTGATAACTTTCAGCCAGCTGAAACAAAAAAGATGATTCAAGCGAGTTCTCCATTATGTTTCACACAAAACGACCATTCATTCTCTTGCTGCAATTCGAAATTCCTTATTCATGAGCAAATACAAATAAACGCAAGAACTTGTTGAGAGAGTCGAAAAACAAGAGCGATTCCTAATATTTGCTCTATTTTGTTTGACGAAAGAAAATGAGAACTGAGGTTCGCATTTCCTTTGTGTATATTCCGGACTATATTTACGTTTATTAATAATACAAATTTCATTATCTCGGCATATATGCATATTTCGGATACTGCGGTTCGTTTAGTTCGTTGTGGTTAGTTCATTCAGATATTTCGCCTTTTCTCTAACCAAATTACCACTTTAGATGTTCAAGTCGAAAATAGTAGATTGTTTTATTAGGATCAAAAGTGACACTTTGTTTGGCAAGCAAATTTTGCATTTGCGAGGCGGAGCGTTTAGCGAAGCCGAGCGAAAGCAAAATTTGCGAGTCAAACAACGTCACTTTTGATCCGAATAAAACATGCTATTTTTTCTGCAACCGAAACAATCAACTCGAATAAATATGTGAAGTAACCAGCAATGCCGTGCCATATGTATGCAATACAACAAATAATCCGTGTGATGAGAACATTCTACCTGCATCAACAGCAGGTTCATTCAATTTCCAAGTATGTTCGAATTGGTGTTTCAATATAAATACAACCACAGAGTGACATATTTGTGTATGGACCAGGTGCTCTAATGGCAAATACCGCGCCAGTTCCAGGTATAGGAAAAAGACGTGGAAAATGTTAGGTTAGTGAGCATATCAAAAATAATAATAGCGATTATTTATTTATCTCCATACTCCACTGTGTTTTGCTTGATAATCAAATGGAGGTAAACAATATCGTTGTGTGAGACAAAAAACTATTGCTGGTCGTGATTATTTAAAAACTAGTTATCCATCCCGAGAATAACGAATGAAATACAGATCAAGCAAGTATGTGAATCCTGAAGGCTTTCCTGATCAAAACAAAAATAACTATAAGAAGGTGCATTTATATCTCCAGCATTGGTATGAAATGCCAAATCTGTCGAAATCGGAAAAATGTTGTTTATTCTTGATAAACTCTAGTACATCCTTATTAGTTCCCCTTAAGAGGGGTAGTTTACTTCTGTTGTTTTTCAAAAATCCTTGCTGACTGAGCATTTCTGGTTAGAATTTTTGCTTCAATTATAATATTTGATGATTTTTTACGGATATATAGTTGCCACCAAGGCAATAATTTTGATCCACCCCTCAAGAGAGGTAGTTTATTCCTGCTGTTTTTCGAAAATCCTTGCTGACCGAGCATTTCCGGTTCGAATATTCGCTTCAAATTGCATATTTGAACATCTCATATAGACATCTAGTTGTCACCGATAGAATAAATTCGATCCACTTCCTTAGAGGGGTAGTTTATTCTTGCTATTTCTCAAAATTCCTTGCTGACCGAATATATTTCAAAAACGAATTTTTGCTCAATCGCATATTTGAACATCTAACAATAAACTATCTCTTTGAAGGGTCAAAATGACTCACGTCGTCGTCAAATAGCGTTTTCCGTGTAGGAGTTGATTTATCGGTGAAAAATTGGAAATAATCTAAAATGTTTGTATTATTTTGTTTCGTTTTTGCCCAATCATCGTTCATTTAAATTTCAATTGCTATCCGACTATCACCATTACTTTTCCATCAAGACCTCGTGACCTCGGATAATATTATGTTTTACGAAAAAGACAGCGTAGAAAGTAGTATCATTATATTGAATAAATAACGAAACGAGACTAGTATAAATAAATGGAGTCCCGCGTTTGCACGATATTTGATCATTAGTTAAGTACGGCCCTTTGAAATGAAATTATTGTGTGTATCATCAATTATTAAACCTTTCCGATATACATTTCACTCCCCAACCTCCAAGGAACAAATTAGTTGAGGGAGAATAGTATCTATTGACCAGCAATCATGCCTATTATGCTCCATTTCGAAAGGTAGCTTCTATAGCTTCTATATAGTTACACCTAAGACGCCATTTCGCCATTTTGAAGTTGGTTTTTCGTAATTCTCAATCCACTATATTACTCATCAAAATATGATGTATAAAATACGTCTTGATATATCTCTGCTATATTTCTGATGATACAGTCGATTTTTTCATTTTGTCGAAGTTTCTTATACGTTATATTTTTGGGAAGAAAAATTTGGAAACATAAAATACGAAAAATGTAAAAAGAACAGTACAATTTGTTTTCTATCGTCGTCATTTCTTTTCTCTTTACACAATTAATACCCATACTAAATTGATTGACGATTAGTTAATACATTAACACGTTAACTCACTTTTTTTTTGAGTAAATTCAAACAGAACTTTTCTACCTACAACTACAAGATGGAAAAACTTTTGATTAATTTAAGCATGCAATTTAATTTTTTCGGCAACCATCCGGGAAGTATCACATAGTTGTTGTCACTGTAACTATGGAAATCTTGGTAGATATGGTTCTGATAAATGCAGATGATAATTACCATACCAGGGAAATATAGACTGACAGCTATTTGACATGAAATTCGTAGATATTTTGATTTTGGAAAGTTTGGTTGCAATTGTGGCAATAAACTGTCGAAAGCAGCTACGATAGTGAGTTTGAAAATGTCCATACGAAATTTCTAATGTAACAGTTAATAGGTATAGGTATTCTGTTCAAATTTCAGTATTTGATACAAATGAAAATTGATAAAGAACAAATTTTATTCCACAAAGAAATATAAAATGGAAATGTGTCTCATTGATTTGTTATTCTACATGGTTGCCGAAAAAATAGTGTACGCTGCACGTCCAAAAACAATTTTTT